TCCTCATTATACACCAGAGGACACACTCAGGGGAGCAGCCCTATGACTGCAGGGAGTGTGGACGAAGCTTTCGTCAAAAGTCACACCTCACTGTACATCAGAGGACACACTTAGATGAGAAGCCCTTTGTCTGCAGGGAGTGTAGGCGAAGCTTTAGTCAGAAGTCATACCTCATCAGACACCAGAGGACACACTCAGGGGAGAAGCCCTATGTCTGCAAGGAGTGTGGGAGAGGATTTAGCCAGAAGTCAGCCCTCATCACACACCAGAGAACACACTCAGGGGAGCAGCCCTATGACTGCAGGGAGTGTGGACGAAGCTTTCGTCAAAAATCACACCTCACTGTACATCAGAGGACACACTCAGGGGAGAAGCCCTATGTCTGCAGGGAGTGTGGACGAGGCTTTACTCAGAAGTCACTCCTTACTATACATCAGAGGACACACTCAGGGGAGAAGCCCTATGTCTGCAGGGAGTGTGGACGAGGCTTTACCCAGAAGTCAGTCCTCAGTAGACACCAGAGGACACACTCAGGGGAGAAGCCCTATGTCTGCAGGGAGTGTGGACGAGGCTTTAATCAGAAGTCAGTACTCAGTAGACACCAGAGGACACACTCAGGAGAGAAGCCCTATGTCTGCAAGGTGTGTGGACGAGGCTTTATTCAGAAATCAGTCCTCATTATACACCAAAGGACACATTCAGGGGAGAAGCCCTATGTCTGCAGGGAGTGCGGAAGAGGATTTAGCTGGAAGTCAGACCTCATTAAACACCAGAGGACACACTCAGGGGAGAAGCCCTATGTCTGCAGGGAGTGTGGAAGAGGATTTAGCCGGAAATCAACCCTCATTATACATCAGAGGACACACTCAGGGGAGAAGCCCTATGTCTGCAGGGAGTGTGGACGAGGCTTTCGTCAGAAATCAGTCCTCATTATACACCTGAGGACACACTCAGGGGAGCAGCCCTATGTCTGCAGGGAGTGTGGACGAGGCTTTAGTCAGAAATCAGCCCTAATTATACACCAGAGGACACACTCAGGGGAGAAGCCCTATGTCTGCAGGGAGTGTGGGCGAGGCTTTAGTCAGAAGTCACTCCTCACTATACACCAGAGGACACACTCAGGGGAGAAGCCCTATGTCTGCAGGGAGTGTGGACGAGGCTTTAGTCAGAAATCAGCCCTGATTATACACCAGAGGACACACTCAGGGGAGAAACCCTATGTCTGCAGGGAGTGTGGGCGAGGCTTTCATCGGAAGTCACACCTCATTCAACACCAGAGGACACACTCAGGGGAGAAGCCCTATGTCTGCAGGGAGTGTGGGAGACAATTTAGTCATAAGTCTCACCTCATTAGACACCAGAGGACACACTCAGGGGAGAAGTCCTATATCTGCAGGGAGTCTGGGCAAGACTTTGGTGATAAGCCACACCTCATTGGACACAGGAGAAGAAAATACTGCCAACACACACCTCCAGCTCCCCAGCTTTGAGAGGCTTCAGAGCAAGTCCCTGAGAGTGAAGAGCACAGAAACAAGTGGGTAAGTAGGTCTTCCATTTTCATGTCAAGGCAAGATGTCGAGAAACCCCAAGGGTTCCTGAAGTGAGCAGGTGGTTCTGCCAATCCTCTCCCATGATGCTTTTGTCTTTTGTAGTAAATGTTGCTTTCACACAGAGCTGTAGTCCAAGTCACATACCTTACTCCCTCATCAGAGAAGACACAGAGAACACATGTTCTCAGCCCAGATTTCCACAGCACTTTGGTCCCTTAAAAGGTGAAGTGTAGAATCTGACTAAATGATTGGAGAATCTAATGTGGACCTGGGGAGAGAAGTTGGGACCCTCTGAGAAGGGAGCACCTTGATTCCCTGGGAAGTATAGCCTCCTCTCTCAGTGACCACTCCATCACGAACCTCCTGGAAGCATAGTTCTCTGGCTTAATGCCCCCCAGGGCCCTTGAGCCACATTTCTCATAGAACACCAATCTAGGCCTCTCCCCTTGACTTTACTCCAACCAACCTCTCCGCAGACCATCGTGTCAGCCATACCACAGAATACCAAGCAAAGCAGGTTCAGTGAAGAGCTCCAAAACTCAGAACCACATGGGTAGGAATACTTTAAAAGTTTGAAGGCTTATAGCTCGTGGAACTTATAGTGAAAGTAAGAAATCGTGTGTGTTTTAATTTCCCGGGCTTGGCGGCCTTGAGAAGAGCAAGACCAAGTGGGGGAGCAGACACACCATGGAAAAACACCACAGGAACCTCAGAGCAAAGGTGGACAATACACTTTGTCAGATTTGCTTTACTCTGATTCTCTTTTTCTGGTATGTGTTCATTGGCCACCCACTGTTTGCACACCTCCTTTCTGGTGACTAGAGGGGGGTGCCTGAGCAAGTGGACACCTCCACCCTTACCACTGGTGGGTTCTTCTGCCACACATGCGGCTTGGCTTCTGCTGTTTGACAGGGTCCCAGCAGAAGGAGAAACGTCATGCAAAGCAGATGATTCTCAGAAGCTGGCTTCTATCTTCTCTCTAGGATAACTCTGAATTCACCTGTAAAAATATATAATATGGCCGTATTCACAGCCTTTACTGTGAGCTCTGCAGGCCTTGGGAAGAAACCTGTCTGGCAATAATTGTTTCAACTTCAGTGGTTTGAATTCAAAGGGAATTGTATGAGCCATTCCCGCTCACAGAAAACCTAAGTAAAAAGTAGCTGCATTTATGAGATCACAAAAGCAGATAACAAACTACAGTAAAGTTGACCAACCCCTACGGACATCACCACAATCAATTACCAGCCAGAATCCACAGATCCCCACTATTACATACAGGCACCTACGTAAATAGGCAGAGAAAAGTGAGCATAAGTGAAAATTAGTCTTAAATTTAATAATCTACATTTCCTGCAGCAGTTAGCCAGGTTGGGCCTTATGACTCACTGCTTCAAAAGAAAGGAACATAGGAACACTGTGGTTAAGCAATCTAATGAATACTTTAGAAAAACAAAATAATTAAGTAGATGTTAGTAATAGCTTTACTATGAAAAATAGTAGTACATTATGTTGGATAGAAGATTGATAATTAGTAGAAATAATAAAGTAGTGTAGCCATTGATGATTAATATAAACATATTACTAAGAGGATATAATCAGGGGTCTGAGAAGTGGAAATGATTTGTGTAAGGTTTATCTTGATCTTTTAGTAGAAATAAGCAATTTATCACAACGTAGAATAGGAGATGATGTCAAAAGAAAAATGTACAATAGCTGAAAAATGAACAGAATATGGAAAGGTCAGTTTGGACATCACAGAAACACTTTTGTTAAGGTTCTGTGATCACAGGGTGAAGGAATGTTATGATTAAAACTGTGTAATAATTAAAGAGAAAATCAAAGTGTCAAATTATTTTGTATTGTATAATTTTAAGTATAAAAATAATGACTTGCTGAGCCGGGGCAGAAAGAGAGAGAAGTAAAAGAGAGAGAGCCCCATCAGCTAACTAAGCAGAGACTCCTCGATTGCTTTCATTTTCGCCAACTCTGCGTCTCCTTTCGTGTCCCGTGACCCTGAGAGAGCTGGACTCCCGCACATGGGCA